TAAAATAAAAAATACATTCTTTACAAGGATGGGCGATTCATTAAAGTATTTTACTGATATCGGACAAAAGTAATATTGTTTTAAAACTACATGTTGAGGACGATTAGATTTTCTATTTAGACTTGTGATGTGGCAGTCACTTGATTTTATCAAAAATACTTAAAGTATTGAGGTTATCTATAAACTTCAATATTGCAAGGGCATAAGCAAGTAAAAAATTTAAGTCTAATTTATAAATATTTTCAACACCCTTGTAGTTTGTGAAAAGTGCTGCGAATCTATATAGATCCTACTGTATAATTGCTAATACTACATTTGTTAGATCGTATGTTGAATATTTTGCTGGTAAACTGCATTAAATATAGAAATGATAAATTCATTTGCAATATTTCATCAGGTTGGCAGCACTTTTCAAATACCCTAATACTTCATGAGTTTCTATGTAAAAGCTTGTCAAGATCCATTGCGGGTATGCCCTTGCAATATATCGATTTATTTAGACCCTTCTATTACCCTCCATTGAATCTGCATACAAAGATACGGTAGTATCACTTGACTAGGGGATGTACGGAAAGTAAAATCTTAAAATAGACACCCCATGCAAGTTAATAGCCTCTTATACATCTGCAAAAAATATTTTATTTGATTACAATATACATTTTTCATTGTATAAAATATGACTTTGTCCGCCTCTCACTGCATACAAACCGTCAAATTTTACGATATGACGTCACATTGACAAGTGCAGTGCGATCAGTGGATGGCATATATCTTGCTGTGTGGGATTTTACTAACGAAAAAACTACAAGAAATAGTAAGTTTTGATCTAGTTTAAAGCTCTCCGACAGTTTAAAACAAATAATTTCATTTTGTGGTAATTTATAAAAAGCCATTTTTGTGTGATGTCATAATAGATATTTCCCGTATTGATTAGGCCCCGCCTCCTTTTTGTAGCCTTAACTGTGATGCGAAGTAAAACTATACCCAGAGAGACAATAAGCTACCGGGCATGAGTGTGGAATCTCTGATTTATAATGTCGGTCAAAGTCAGACAGCATGACTACTAGCACTTGTTTTGCAATATCTCTTGTCAGCGAATTGGCAGCCAATATACAATTTTGGTACTTTCGAAAACTTGTTTCTATTTCTTTTGTCGATACCATTTCAATTTTGCCAACAAAAAATCGTTATTTTCGTTTATTCCGTGAGATAAGTAATGTTTTTCACGTTATTGACTTGAACAAATTCTTGTGAGCAAGGATTTGCTGTTAATGACTCTACCTCACAACTGTGAGGTAGAGTCATTTCAATGTATTCCGAAATATCAGATTCAGCTCTTTCAACTTTGGATGCTTAGTTGGTCTTAAAGCAGAAGCACCTCCTTAAATATTCATTATAATATCCCAGATCTTCTTCCAAAGGTTTTCTAAGAAAGTAACCTTATTATTAATAACTGTTATTATATTTGGTAGCCAACAAACCAGCAATGCTGATTTCACTTTCATAGCCTGCATTTCCAACATCAATTGTAAGACATATCTTGTATGAATTTTGTAGTGAGACCCATCTGCAGATGAATAAGGTCATTTTATTTCGATAGCTTTCTCTGCTTTGTCATTTCGTCGCAGACTGCCATCATGGCTGACAAAAAAATGGTTTACCATTTCTTTCAATGACGTAAACGCCTACTTCTTGGAAATGCAAGTCTGGGTAAAAGGATGAAAAAACTGAAGCTTTCAGAGTTGCCATTCTATTGACTTCGTTCTGTTCCCCATGTGCCATTCTTTTCCCTGTTTTCTTATTCACAGGATTCTTTTCTTTGCCAAAGAATCTCTGATCAAAATGTTCCTGTTCCCGTTTTAATGACTCAAGACCTTTTGCTGCATATGCTGTACTTCCAGTTATGCAAGTATTGCTGCGGATATCACACCATTCAGGGATTTGTTGTTTGACATAATTGCATGAAACACGCAGTGAGATGTTGCAGCGATGAATCTGTGTCAACTAAGCACTTGTTATTCGGCTGATTATCCAATCTACCTTGTATGATATTGGGTATGGAATCCCATTCATAATGGAGCCGATACGCAATATATTGCTTGTTGTCTTGTTAATATCAGACATAGCTATTCTAATGTCACAAAGTGAAATTTGGATTTTGCTGAGAATAAACGCCACTTTGGACTCCTTTCAATTTGAACCAGCTTCAGTTTTTAGTTTCTCAATTGTATATTCTCTTTTACTCTTAAACTCTTTTAGATCCTTTTGTCTTTTACTCAGTATTTGCACGATTTGCGCAAGCATTGCGTTGAATTGTTGATATTTTTTTCAATTTTGTTATCTTTATCAATTTCTAACTGTTCGTGTAGAGTTTTTGCATTGATGAGAACATCTAGTTCTCCATGTTATCTTGCATTTCTCTCTCTAAATGTAGGTTTTTTTCTCAAATCCCAAGCAGTTCACATCCCCAAATTTGCCACCAGGATTTAACTTTTATAAATCCATACTTAGCGCTCGGCAATTTGAAGTGAAAGTTGTGGGTCTTTTGGATGATATCTTAAAAACTGAATCCCCTTGACACTGCAGGTGTTGACACGATAAAGATCCTTCACTGCTTAAGGCCCTGAGTGTCGGGTAAAGGTTTAAATTTGAAGCCCTTCACCATAATTCAGGAATTGATTATTTTGATGGATACGTTGGGATTCTGTCAATTTCTTTCAATATTTCTAGAGAATCTGTCAAATTAAGTATATATTTATCATATACTACTTTAATTTAGCAAAGACATTTATCTTTCTAAGAGAAAAATAGAACAAAGAAACCAAATTGTTTGAATTTTATTCTTTATACGTTTCTAACGTTTGTCCTTTATGTTTCGGCTGTTGTGTTGTTGTTCTTTTTTTTAAATAGGTAGATATGATTTTGTTCACTTTCTCCAACATTCTTTTATCTTTTTTTACTTTTAAATTTCCTTTTAAATTTTTTCTCCATCGTGTTATCAAATTCTCATCTCTTTAACCCCATTTTTGTGTTGCCTCGTGGGTATATAAAGGCTGCACTCATATATCCTACTTGTCTATACAGTATGACGTCATAGTAAGCTGCCTGACGTGAACTTTAGAGATAATTTCTTAATATCTATATTTAAAGTTTAATTTCAGGTCTAAGAAGTGAATGGAATCATTCAAAAACATAATATAAACATTTTGTCGTTTTCTGGTGGTATAAATAGCCTACTATTTATCACGGGGGTAAAATACCAAACCCATGACGTCATAACTATTGATCAAATATTTGCCGAGTGAAAATTAAACGTGACGAGAATTCATGTAAACAAATAAAGCATATACCGTGAATGTCATGTGTGATTCATAAGGAGTTAAAGATTAAGAATCAGGAACGCTGATTTATACATGTACTTATGTTTTCTTATAATGAATATATGCAATGTTTTGAAATTCTGATCAGCCTTTCTGCTGTCGTTCTAACAACAAAGATGCAAAAGTTCAACACTACACTGCATACTTTGAAACATAAGTTTTGTTTGTATCAAAAGTTTGTATTCTATAGTACTTGGAAAGTGCTGCTAGAATCGTGTTTTTAACATTAATTGATGACAATTCCTTGATCGTATGTACAAAATGTGAAAATTTTGTTAAGGTTTCATGCGAAACTTTGGTATATTTTTTTTCTCTTTCGGGAGCGTAGGAATCCAGCAGCACTTTTCATGACCCAGTGATGTTTTTACATAATTATTTAAAAAAAAAAAGAAATAAATTATCCCCGGGGTAGTGTTGAACTTTTCACTTTTTGGTTAAGGCAATTTTTCTATCATAGACATCACGTGATGATGTCGAAGTGGAGTGCTTCTTTTAGCCTAAGTCTCAGTGAAGTCTATACAATGGATAATAGTAGTATATGTTTTATCTATACCTTTTCCGATTTACCAATGTTACATTTTACGAAAAAAGTCTAAAATTGCCGAAAAATGATCTTGGTACTGCCTTAATATATCTGCGCTGCAGAGCAAAGCGACACTTACGGATCACTTTACCTGGCGTCTGTCTGTCTCTGTAAGTCTGCCACAACTTATATCTAAAGAACTGTAAGAGGTATGGATTTGATATTTAACACTTACCATGGTTACCGATCTCGTGACCCTTGACCTACTTTCAAATTAGTACATATTGCCAATAAAAAGCATATTTTGACATTTAAGAGGCAAGACTATGCTATTTAGTATGTGCACTGTTTGTCATAAAACATTATGAAAAACACTAGCATTACAATCCACTTGATTTGGCCTTTGACTTACTTTACAAATAATACTCCTGGCAGTTTAATTTAACATGAGTTTTGAATTTTGAAAGGCAGGGATTTGATAATTAGCATTTATATATGTTTATGAGCACGATACTGTACGTTGAAACTGTTTCAATGATATTACCATACAAACTTATTTTAAATAAATGATAATACATCGGGATTGGTATTCCATAATGGATCGTGTATGTGGACTGACAATTGCAGTAAAGACAGATTGAAATCGCTTTTTGAGGATTGTTGGAAAACGCGTATTAATAAAATGGTAAACAATTATTTCTAATAATTTCAATTTAATTATTCATTTGAGAGTTGGGAAACCCTATCTTCTTTGATTGTCAGATTCTATCGTAGTCATATACTATCCTTGATTTTTTTTCTTTGCAGACATATGCATGAACTGTCATTCAAGTAGTAAATATATAGCTGACCACTCTTTAATTTGTTTACATATTTAATAAAGCTACAAAGCAGGCGACACATGATTTCCTTGGAGCACACTAGTTTTTGAAATATATCCATCAGCGTGGCCCTTCTTGACTGGTCAGTTTAAAATTTCTGCTGAAAATGTTGGAGAATAATGTAAATAATACGAAATGTCTCTATCATTTCAAATGGTGAATTATATGATAAACCCTTGCTGGTTTGGAAGCTGAAACAAATAATGCTTAGTCATTACGATTTCGTTGCATGATTATTGTGTATCCTTCATGTATTTGATTTTTTTCAATTTATGACGGTAACATTCAGCAACAAAGAGGTTGTCTCTGGTGTCTACACATAAATCCCATGGATACTGTAGATAACAGTTATCAATGTAACGCAGGAACTCTCCATCCTGATCTAGGATGTGGACACAATGGTCCGCACAGTCTGCTGTCAGGATCTGACTCTGGCTGTCTGTGGTGATGCTGTATGGATAAAATGATTCTTTCGCTGTAGAGGAAGGACGCCCAGTGTATTTAAATCGGAATTTTCCTGACCGATTAACAACCACCACTGCATAGGCTCCCCAGTCAGCCACACAGATATCCAGGTTCCTGTTTTCACATACGTATTTATAATAACCAGATGCATACATAGGTTCACCTTTATTATCAAACTGAATGGTTTGTTTCTCTGTGGACCCAGTGTATCGAACAACTTTTGATTGTTCTCCATCATCACTATTCATGGTAACCAGGAGGTCTCCAGAGGAGGTGCTACAGACATAGTAAGGTATCCATCCCTGTACTCTGATCACTTCCTTTATTTTTTTATTTTTCACTTTGTTTACAGTTTTTGCATCAGGGTCAGTATAAACTAAATCTCCATTCTTTGACACTGCTATATCACGTGGCAGGTTCCCAGACTTGGTTTGGATTGACTTCAGAAGTTTACCCTGGAGATTGTAGAGTTTCATGATTCTGTCCTTCCCACATGTCCACATTTCTTCCTCACTGAGACAGGTAACACTGTAAAGATAATCATATTCAATGTCTATGGTGGTAATGATTTCCGGTTCATCAAGAAGTAATTTGACTGGAGAACATGATACAGCTTCTGGTGTCTCCATTGTGTAGCCATGTTTTTCTGTTGTAATGGATAATGCTGACAGAGAACCAAACATTTGATGGAGTTGTTCTGTATTGATCTGATGAGGAGAGAAACTTGATATTGAAACTTTCATTTTAGGAGGCAGACATCTGAATTCAGCATTTCTTGATGTGTATTCAGATGTTATGGAAATGTCATTGGAATCCAATATTTTCTTCAGATCAAGAATGCTCTGTTTTACATCAGACGTTATCATATTCATTTGTTTTTCCTGTTCATGAAGAGCAGCCAGATGTTTAGTTTTCATCTCTTCAATTTCAGATTTTAGATTGTTTTCAATGATGTTAATTTCTCTGTGCAATTCTTCTCCTTGTTTGGTGACAGCTGTTGTCAATTTCTCGTAATGTTTGTCTATGTTTTCTTTTTCATAGTTTAAACCTGATGCAATTTCTTCATATGTTGGGTAGATTTTTTTCTCTAGTTCTTTCAAGTCTTTTTGTAAATCTTTAAGTTTGATCCTTAGTCTTTGCAGAGCATCTGATAAATCATGTCCTTTATGATTACCTGAAGAAAGACAGGTCGAACACACATGAAGGTCACATTTCTCACAGTAAAGTTCACAATGTTTCTGGGTATGATTTGGACACTTTGGGTAGTTAGGGACAGAAGTTCTTTGTTTGTATGGTACAACATTGTGTCTTTTTGATGAGTCAGAAAGATGTTTTCCAACACAGTTAATGCAAAGATTTACATGACAAAGTTCACAATGACTCTGTAATGCAGCTCTTTGACACAGGTCACAGATAAGGATGTCTTGGGCACTATACTTGGGGTCCATAGGTATTTTGGTCACTTGATAAAGGTGATGCTGTGAAAGAAATAATAGAAAATCATTGTAAATTTTGAGAGATTTTCATTACCTCGATTGAGTTTTTTTAAATTCCAAAGGGTGAAACGAGGTTTTCTGATCGACATTTATTTGTTGTCCGTCCATCCATCGTCTGATTTCTGTCGTCTTTCACTTATTACATTTTCGACTTCTTTGTCGAAGTAGAGCAGTAGAGCAATATCAAACCAAATTTACCATAAAATATCTTTTTTTGAAGGAGATTAAAGTTTGTCAAATAAAGAACCACGTTCTCTTTCAGGGGAAGATGGATAAGAAATAGAAATAAGTGTGTTCATTTACAAATCTACCTCTCAATAATCATTTGGTCAGAAAAGAGAATACATGTACTTCATAAAGGAGTCCCTGGTGGATGTAAATTCAATTCTGTTCAAAACAATACCTCAAGACAGGATTTGCCCAAGATAGGGATATCAGTTTTAACATTAAAATGCATGTACGAGTATATAGAAAAAAATTGAACTTTGGTTTAGGATGTAGCTAAAACGGGGGATCATTTTTTTTTTTCATAATACATGAATTATAAGGGAAAACTAAAATCTCCAAACAGCAAAGTGATGGCAGTGATATTGTTATTCAGCATCCTTATGTAGTGTGGATATAATTCAGGTTAAATAATAATGATAACATGGAGCTATGAAGGGGCCAGAGTGATCTCTAGCTTTTTAATAGTTTTTTTTTTATTTGAAATATAACAGTTTTCATTGTTTGCATGTACTGTCACGAAACGCTACACGGTTTACACGAAACGCTCTGCACGAAAGGCTGCACGGTTTACACGAAAGGCTGCACGAAACGCTTTGTACACGTTTCTTACACGCTTTGTACACGATTCTCGAACGCTTTGTACACGATTCTCGCACGACTTGGCCTCGATCTGGATTTTCTTTTCGGAATCTCTCTGACTTTATTTAAATTAAGTAAATTACGGATTAATCAAAGATAAGTTAAGAATTTGCAATCATTCAGATAAAGTTAGGATTAGAACTCGCCACACCAGGGCTATATTAACAGATAAAATACACAATTTTAAGTTGTATTTAATTAATATTATAGTTGTCACTGAGTATGTGACGCGCCCGATGAAATGCCTATCATCGTCTACATGTATGTACAAAACTTTTTCACTAGGCTCTAAATTACGCACTGAAAAAAATAATTATATTTGTAATTCATAATCTTTTACAGCATTCAATGTTTTTACAATTATAGTTTGATATTAACAAATCGTTTTATGACTGACAAATAAACCCAGTTATTGATTTGAAAAGAAAATATTGATTAAATTGTGTATGATTTCTGTAAACGGATTGATTTTCTTTCCTTTCCTTTTTTTTTTAATTATTGACTGATTTATTCATTTCTTGATTTAGTAAATAAATACTTTCATTTGATTGAATTAAGTTCTGTTTATAATTTGCAAAGGTGAGGTAATATGTACACTAAATCAAATAAGAACATTGTGCAGGATGGGGGAGGGCGGGGGGGGGGGGGGGGGGTAGATTACCGAGATCTTACTTCTGTTCATGGCTATATATAACTGGTACTTGTTTCAGTAAGTATACCATTGGGAAAAAATATTATAGAAACAAATGCCCGTTCTAAGAAAAAAAGGATATCCATATCTCCAGCGGGACCAGATACATGTAACTCATTAACTGCACTTTAATTAGAATGGTAAATATATCGCTTCATTACAGAATCAGACTTTGGCTTATCATTAAAATTTAATATGGTAGAGAAGCCGGGAGAATAGATATTGTAATGCTTTAGTTCTCCATTTTGAGGCATTGTGTTTATCAAATAAAAACAATATACCCACCACCTTGTAAAATCCTTGATTTCAAATCCCGTCTAGAAAAAAAAATGTAATCAATAGTCGCGGCTCTTAACAATACATTCAATATACATGAAATCATGTCCAATGGTCTTAAAAACTAAGAAAAATATGCTCTAGAACTGCGTGATTAATAAAACAACTAATATATAATTACTCCGGAGTTTTTTCTATATTTTATTATTCTCGAATACACTGGCAAATTAATTCACTGTTTACAGAGAATCGGATAAATTTAAGAAATGAAATCCACGGGGATTTATTTTTACCCATTAAATATTAATAAAACTATTAAATTTCACGAATTAAAAATCAATCGTTATTGTCGGGTGTCATCTAAGCCATGATTGGCAAGAGATAATACATGTAGCAGAACAAGTTTTCAGTTCCCGGCACGCGGAGCCCGTGATCGCTGTTGTAAATGACCTTGATCACAGTAGTAAGAAGAGTGTCGGAAGTGTAAAGAAGATTCCAATACATTTTTAAGGGGTGCATCAGGTTCACCCCGAAAAAACCCAATATTTTCTTTAAAATGAAAATTATCTATAAAACATGTTAATAACAAAACTCAAAGTTTGTGTTTACATTAGAACCCCCCCCCCCTCCGGGATTATTTTACCTTGTATTTGCCGATGAATGTGAATTTTGATTCATTTATAAGACAATTATTAATCAACCAATTTTATGCATAACAAGACTATAAATGACTCATCATTTAAAAATTATTTTAATCACAATCTTGTAATAGAAGAAAATTATGTTCGTTTATAAAGAAAAAAAATAATTGTGCTCCCCGGCCTAGAATTCCAATACTTCACATTTATAGCAACGCACTAAATTTAGTATTTTATATTTCACGCCTGCCTTATCTATTCATTGTTTTGCATTAATCACCCATATGTTTTTGTAATATTTATATACCACAACTGTAAAATGGTGAAGAGATTCAAATAAATGAATGAAAAGGACAAGACCGGATTATTGATGTTTTTTTTAAAACAATGTTCAGTATTGCTCCCTTTAAAAATTTATTGAATGAAATACCTTAAAATTGATGTGCGTATAATTAATTACTTTGAACATACAGCATAGTGCCATAAATGAGTCAACTTTTTTAATGGCTGCCAATTGAATCATATAAAATCAACTTACCTGAATTCCTTGCCAGCCTCTTATATGAACTGTAATCACTCTAATATTTTGTGATGTCACCTTTCTGGATCAGTACCTCTCTGCATCTTCTTGGAAGGCTTGCATAAAGTTTTTGAATATAAAATAAAGGGATTTCATTCCGAGCCCTCAGTAACTGAGTTTTCAAGTCATTTACATTGTGGATCAGGTAAAGTCTGTTTTTGACTTTGTTTTTCATTAATAGCCAAACATTCTCGATTGGGCTCAAATCGGGAGACTGGGGAGGCCAACTTATCTGTGGAATTCTGTTCTGATGTTTCCAATTTTCAGATTCATTGGACCGATGACATGGGGCATTGTCATCTTGGAAGTACCATGTACTATTACCAAAATGTTTAACAACAACCTGCCAAATATTGTCATCAAGTGTTTGTATATATTTCTGAGAGTTCATATTTCCATTTATGAATGCTAAACTTCCTACCCCATAGTAGGTGATACATCCCCATACCATTATTTTAATAGTAGCAGACGACATTGGTGCAAAGTGGCCCAAACATTCAGGTCTCCATTTTTCAGATGACTTCCTCCATACTTTAAACTTTCCATCAGGTTTAATAATAACCATCATTTCATCGGTAAACATCACCTTCTTCCACTGATTATTGACATTCCAGTGTAACATCCCTCTGCACCAAGCTATGCGTTTCTTTTTGTTTACGTTCCGAATTCCTATAGACTTCCGAGAAGATCGCCTTGTATAGCCCATTGAGTGAAGGGTCCTTTGTACTGTGCGACGAAAAACTTTAACCGGTGTACTGTTGTTGAATTCTGCCGTTATATCCTTTAAAGTTGTCCTACGAGAATTTTTAACAAGGCGAGAAAGTGTCCGTTCTCCTCTGACATTAACATATCGGGGTCTTCCCTTCCGTGGCTTATTTTCTATGTCTCCACGTTCCCTCCACCGCTTTAAAAATTTCGAAATTGTAGACGTGTTTATCTTTAAACATTTTGAAATTTCTGATGCCCTGTGTCCACTTTCTATTAATTGTACGATCACTTTTTTAGTGTCGTCTGACATTTCATTGCCGTGTTTTGCCATTTCGTAAACAAGGAAGTAGAGTAATAACAAAATCAAATTCGCTAACGAAAATCCGGAAATTAAAACTCAGTAAGTGTTACTTCCCTTTGATCATGAAAAAATCGATACCTTATCGTTTATATTTCTACAACGTAACTTCGAAATATTGAAGCGGCGTTTGTAATTGTGCGCCATTAAAAATGTTGACTCATTTATGGCACTATGCTATTTTCTTTCCTTCTTTATTTAAATAAAAAAAGAAAGAAAATCATACAAATATGTAATACATTACCGAGTAATTTTATTTTGTTGTTTCCGTAGTTTTTTCTCTCTTATAATACCACCGGTATAATATATTCGAATAATATTAGTTACAAACAACACAGAATGACATGTTGATCCATCAATGGCCATACAGTATTTAAAATAAAATGAGTTCCGAATGAATCCTACACGTTTCTCACACGATTCTTGCACGAAAGTCGCACTCTTCTCACACGGTTTTACACGAAAGTCGCACGTTTCTCACACGCTTTTTGCACGCTCGCAGTTTGCACAAAACGCTTTGAAGCTTACACGAAACGCTGCACGGTTTACACGAAACGCTACACGGTTAGCACGAAACGCTGCACGGTTTACACGAAACGCTACATCGTTTGCACGAAACGAAAAGCGCACGAAAGTCACACGCTTTTTTGGGGTAGTAGCACGTTTCAGGGTCTATATATATATATATATATATATATATATATATATATATATATATATATATATATATATATATATATATATATATATATATATATATATATATATACGAGGGCATTTGAAAAGTTCTGAGAACTGCTTGCTAAGATATTAATCATTTCACGGAAGTTAATAAGTTTGATACCATTGAAAAGAGCTGGAAAA